CACGGGCATCCCAGTGACCCTTGATGTTGTATTGGGGGGGAGAACACGGGCATCCCAGTGACCCTCGATGGCGTATGGGGAGGAGAACACGGGCATCCCAGTGACCCTCAATGGCGTATGGGGGGGAGAACACGGGCATCCCAGTGACCCTCAATGGCATATTGGGAGTGGGGGGTGGGGAGAAGACGGGCATCCCAGTGACCCTCAATGGCGTATTGGGGGTGGGGGGTAGAACACGGGCATCCTAGTGACCCTCGATGGAGAATGTCAGGCAGCATGGGGGGGGGTGACATTCCGGTGACCCTCAACAGAGCAGCACAGGGTGGGGGCGAGTCCAGTGCCCCACAACTCTCAGGATCACATGGCTACTTAAGAGACAGAGGTTCCCTCTGAAATCTATTTCCCTTTACTGAGTATGTCCCCAGGCAAACACGTCTAATGTCACTTCTAACAGAGGTTCTGGACAGATACACAGCCACTCAAGAGACTGAGAGTCGACCTGACCCCCTGCCACACTCCTGAGAAGACACAGAGCCGAAGCCGTGGGACTGAGGTGGAGGCTTTCACAATTAGCTCCTGCACAAGAAAATCACAGGCCTCAATTTTCCAGCAGCCAAAGGATTCAACTTGAAGGAACCAAATGCTGGCAGCACCAGTGTGCTCATATGAGAGGGACAATAATCTGCAGCACAGGGGACCCTGAGGAGGACAGCCTGCCAAGGCCGGGGCTTCAAGAAAAGCGACTGACAGCAAGCAACCCCGTGGAGACAGGCAAGCGTCCACAGAGTGGAAAGACGGAGACAGCGTCTCCGAAAGTCACCTGGATCCTGCTACACGACTGGCCACTCAGCTTATTCTTGTCTTTGAAGTGGCTCTTCTGACTCTCGAATGTTATAGTGGATTCCAAGTCACAGTAACTCTTGTGACATAGTACAACTGTCCCCCAAGTTTCCCAGGCTGTCGTCTTTACGGGAGCAGGTTGCTAGATCATCTTCCTCAGCAGAACAGCTGGAGGGCTTGAACTACCAACTTCTGCTTAGTATGAGTGCTTACCCACTGCACCACCAGGGTTCCTTTCAATTCATTGTTGTTGTTGTTGTTGTGAAGTGCCAATGCCTCAGTTCCGACTCATAGGACCCTGTGTAGGATTTCCAAGAGCAGCTGGTGGACTTGAATCACCGACCATGGGCGTCAACCCAGGACCCCCTCATGAAAAGTGCCAGAATCTTCCACCAGCACAAGTAAACACCTCTGCTCTCACTGTGGACAAGATGAAAATCAGGTCCCTGGACACTGTGGGAGTGAGATGTGGGGGGCCCTCAGCCCTGGACCACTGACTGTAAGTCATGTGATGGTGTATGTCTTGTGCACCCACATATCCACTCTGAGAGCTGAGCCACCCAGGGGCAGAAAGGGGTTACAGTGTCTCATTGTGAGTTAAAAACAAAACACAAAAAATAGGCACTGTGCAGTCCCCACTAGTGGACCTGCTGTGCTCCACAGGGTTTTCAAGGCCTGAGTTTTAAAGGCAGATCTCCAGGACTTTCTTCCAAGGTACTGCTGGGTAGGTTAAAACTGCCACCTTCAGCAAATGAGCACTTAGCCATTTGTGCCACCCAGGGACACCTAGCTTATAAGTATTAGTTTTCATTTTTCAAACCTAAGACCAGAACCAACGAAGGGATCCTGAGACATGTTCATTCACATACACCTGTTTTCTGTACACACACACACCCTGCTGTTCTCCCTATGTGGGAATATGATGACAATAAAGACACTAGCCCTCTACTCTTGGTCTCATTCCCCAATTCCATCACCTGCAGCTAATAAACAAAACCAGCCACATGCTACTACAAGCACACCTTGGAGACACCACAAAAGTTTGGTTCCAGAGCACTGCAATAATATAAGTGAGTCACGTGCATTTTGATTTCCCAATGCACGTAAAGGAGGCCTGGTATGGCACTGCAGGATAACACACGGGACCGCAAAGTCAGTTTCAACCATAAGGTCAGCGGTTCAAATTCACCAACCACTCCTTGGAAACCCTATACAGGGGTCACTATGAGTCGGAACTGATTCAATGGCACTTAACAACAACAAAATTCATGTAAAAGTGATGTTGACACTAGACTGTCCATAAAAGGTGCCCTGGTGGTGCTGTGGGTCAAGCATTGAGTACCAACTGTAAGGATGGTGGTTCAAACCCTGCAGCCAGTCCGCAGGAGAAAGATGAGGCTGTATTTTCATAAGGTTGTGCGGTCTCAGACACCCTAGACAGGGTCATATAGAGTCAGAATCAATCCAAGGGAAGCGGGTCTGGTTTGAGACACTCTAGTAAGTGAAAAGTAGAAAGCAGGATGAAAAAGCGTGGACGACTGTGAGAACTCCCAAAATGGGACAGAGAGATACACAGTTAACACACCTGTTGGAAAAATAGTGCCCACAGACTTACTCGACGCAGGCTTGCCATAAACTTTCCATTTGTAAAAAAAAAACAGAGTACCTGCAAAGCACAGAAGGACAGGCAAGTCCTATAAAGTGAGACTTTTAGCGCTGTGGAAGCTGAGTCCACACCAGATCACATCACATGTGGGTCACAGGCAGGTGCACAGTGTGATGGCGAGAGCCACGTGGACACCAAGCTCTCCTCAGTCTGTCTGACCTCCAGCCTCAGGCCCCACCCACACCAGTGGGTGATTTTCAGGAGAGGTGGGTGCCCATGCAGCTGCTCCCCTTCACACTTGCCTCCTCCCCCCTACGCAGAGGAGCACCGAGGGTGGATGAGACGTGCCCAAGGACAGGCATCATGAAGCGGGAGAGTGGTCTGGAACCACCTGCCCTGCCCTGGGTCCCCGGGTCTCAGTGCTTTGCCCTCAGGAGAAGAATTTAGGGGCACACAGACTGAGCTCTGATTAAAGCAAGATGCACTGGTTAGAGGACCATTGGGAACCCCACCTCCTGACACTGACATAAGTGGACACTTTCCCAATGAGTGTTGAACAATGCTCACATGCATCTCATTGGCTGTAGCAGCTGTTTCAAAAGTACCTCCGGACTCTCCCTCCCAAACATCCTGAGGCCAACTGACTCCAACTGGGAGGAGGAAAGCCACTGAGCAGGCCACTCAAGTTAACCTAGCCTCCCCCCAAGCCAGGTACCTACTGCCTTTCCTGTGGGCTGTCCCCAGGGGTGCCTGCAGGTCCTCTTGCAGTTGATCTAGTCAGGCCAGGACCCCAGCGTGGAGCTCTAGGAGAGTGTTTGGGAATCTGCACTGATCTCTTCAAGGTGTTCCATATTCAGTATAAAGAGCATGTCTCCACCGCCCCAAACCTCTGCTGACGGCAAGTGGGCACACGCCCACCCCAACCCCACCATGAGTAAGAGGCACACAGAGGAGTTCCACACTGGGAGGGTTGTCACTTTAGGATGTTGCTGCCCATATTCACAGGGCAGGAAGTAGACTAGCCCAGGGAGCCCTTAGGTGGCTGGTGGCACTGTGGTTAAAGCACTCGGCTACCAATGGAAATGTCAGCGGTTTGAAACCCACCAGCCACTCTGTGGGAGAACACTACGGCAGCCTGGCTCTGTAGAAATGCGCAGTCTCAGAGACCCCAGAGGGCAGTTCTACTCTGCCAGGTTGGGCCACAAACTTGACAGCAGCAGGTTTGGTTTTGGTTTGAGAGAGTTCCTGGGTGGCTGTTGTTGTTGTTGTTGTTATGCCGTTGAGTCGGTTCCGACCCATAGAGATCCTGTATAGGGTTTCTAAGGAGCAGCTGGTGAGCTTAAATTGCCGACTTTGCAGTTCATATGGCTTTGCAATCTGGCGCATTAACCCACAGCGCCACACCAGTACAGAGGGTTAAATGCTCAACTACTTGCTGCAAGGCTGGTGGTTCAAACCCACCTATTAGTGTCTTGGATGCCAGACCTAGCGGTTCAGTTGCTTGCCCACATGGTGAGCCGTCCTGCAGCTATGCCAGTCTGCCCAGGTGTCCTCTGGGTCATGCAGACGCCGGATGTCAGCAGAGTGGGTTAGGTCTGGCTCCGACAGATGCTTGGCCTCAGATCAAAGATCAGGAAAGCGCTGGACACTGTAACTGGGTAGTGCTTTGACTGTCTGCCCTGGATCATCTGACGTAGGGGCACAAAGACACATGTGCTGGTCTGCATGTGCTTCTCCTGCCACCAGATGTGGCCCTGGCATGGGAAAGGGAGGTATCTTTGGAAAGGATGGGGTGTCTTGTCTTCACCTCTTTCCCCCTCCCCAACAGCTGGCATGTGGATGTGAGGGCAGGAGCCAGAACAGTCACCAAGGGCCACAAAGTAGATGCTGGGCT